TTTATGAGGAAAGGTTAAAAGAGCTTTGTATGTATCACTTGAGTAAACAGTGACTAAAGACAAATAACTGTCTACAAGTAGTTTAAAGAAGGTAAATACAAAGGCAGGCCAGGAATAGCTTAGATATAACCAGGACTAAAGGAAGAAATTAATTTAGGCTGAGTCTCGGAAAACACTTCGAGGCAGAGGTATCTATTAGACTGTGGAATAGTTTTCCCCAGGGAAGCAGTAGATCCCTTTGATGTGGGACATTTGAAACTGCTGTAATATGGATAAATTGCTAGCAAATACACCGTAGAGAACATACCTGCACCTGCTAGAGGGGAGTGGATTATATGACCTGATAGGTGGTGTTGAGCTCTAATTTCTATGACACCGAGATTAGAATAGCTATTGTTGCTGCAGGTCAGGATCAAGGTGTATTAGCAGATTTGTGCAGAGAGGACGCTTGCATAACATCTGCTTGCGTTTGCCTGGCTGGAGCTGGTGCTTTCACAACACAATATGCAAACTTTGCACATCCATCGCAGGCAGCTATTTCTAATTATCGCTCGCTAAGCCACGATTAGAGTGCCACCCAGAGGATCCAGGCTGGGAGCAGTTTAACTCCAAAGAAGTGCAATGATTCTGTAGAGCAGATGCAAGTGGCCTGAGTCTCTCCCCAGACCAGGTTCACTCTGTCTAGCTCTTTGACTTGGATAGGGGAATTCTTTGTGATCCCTGCACTGTAGCCAGTTGGTACCAGCACAGCTGACACTAAGAGAAGTGGAGGTCCTCTGGGGAAAAACATGTCACCTTCCCAGCACAGAGCAAACTAGGCTCTTTGCTGCCTTCTTAGGAGCCAGCTGAGAGCTGGATCGAACGGAGGCAGGAGTGGGCCAGAAAAGAAAGCATGGTGGATATGTGGCAGGAAGAGAGGGTGGCTAATACAGACCTGAAGTTGATTGGTTCCTTATTGCTGTGAGACCCATGAGGGCTATAGCAGTCGGCGGCATTACTCCCACTGGGGTCTGACCTAGCCCCCTGAATAGGGCAGGCACAAGTTGCCTCCACTCAGTCCTTGCATCAATGCCAAAATGGTGTCAGTGAGCCCAAGGAGAGGAAATGTGCTCAAATGTCACCTGGTGCAGTGCTATGCCCAGCTTAGAGCTCATGAATGGTGCAATTCTACTCCAACCTTCTTTCACACTTTGTACGCAAAGCTCTCAAAGTATTGTACAAATCATAGCAAATCAGCTCTCTCAATGCCTCTGAGAACAGGTGACTAGTAGCAGCCATGTGACATAATTAATTAAGATACTAAAGAACATTGAGGTTAAGGATGACCTTCAATAAAGAAAGTGGGGGGGAGGGGTTGTTGGCTCTTAAGAGCCTTCTTTCACTTTTTGTTTGTTTGTTTGACTTTAGAAATACCAGGAAAAAGAACAAATGTTACTGTTTTCATTAGAGAGCCCCGAAAGATCCTGAGAAGCCAATTGGAAGCAGGGCTGGCCTTACCAGGAGGCAAACTGAAACGGACACCTCCGGTGCCAGACTGGGGGGGGGGAGAAGGCACTAGGACCCAGAGAATTGAGACCTTCTGAAGTTTTAGCCCAAGGTAGGGGGCATGGGAGCATCATTTGAGCTCCCTGCCTCAGGTGCCAAAATGTTGTGGGCCGGCCCTGACTGGAAGCATTCTTAGCATTCTTCCAACAGTCCAGAAGTGGAGAACCTTTAGGGAGGAGAGCTTTTTCTTTCCAGGTGCTTATTATAGATGTGAGTTAAATAGATGTTAGCAAAAGGAAACAATCAGAGGGTTTTAAATGTTCAATGTAAAAATAACTTCCCCTCTGTTACCTAGGTCTCACTTCCTTGGAAACTGTGATGTCATGAACTGACCAGTTTTCTAGTCATGCAGAAAGTCTAGCAGGAAAAACAAGCTATATGAGACCAGAATTACTAATGTAAAACAGCAAGGAGAAACAAAAATAGGATCTATTCTCTGGCCCAGGATATTCTGGGGTTGGTTTGTTTTTGTGAAACCCATTCAGGCTTTCTTCATCTGTCACAAGGAAGGGGGCACACAGGGCCGGCCTGAGGCAGTCTGGCGCCCCGGGCAGGGGCATGCGGTGCCGTCCCCGGGCGCACAGCATATGCGCGGGCCCGCCCATGGGGAGCGGGTCGGCCACCCTAGGTTACGCAGGTCTGCCCCCGGGGCGCACAGCGCATGTGCAGCCTGGCTACGGCCGCTGGTGTGCAGTCCGGGGCCCGCCCCCGGGGCGCACGGTGCAAGTGCGGCCCAGTCCGGCCCGGTTGTCACTGCTGGTGCATGTGCCAGGCTGTGTAGAGCCCCACGGCTGAGGGGGGAAAGGAACTGCTGGCCGGCACTGCAGGGATGCAGGTGGGACGGCGCTGCGGGAGCCGCGGGAGCTGGGCGCTGCGGGAGCCGGGCGCGCAGCGCCTGATGGCAGCTGTAAGGGACACCGCGTGCCCCTTACAGCTGCCATCAGGTGCCCCCCATCAGTTGGCACCCTGGGCAGCTGCCTGGCTCACCCATGCCTCCATCCAGCCCTGGGGGCACACATGCATTTTTTCCCTTAGCAGGTCACATTTTGGAAGGCATACAGCAAGTCTAGGGCAGACCTAGTATTAGAACATGTCTCCTTTAGTCAGTTCTCCCACAGCAGCTTCACAGCAGTTTAACTGCATTGATGTCCGTGGCATAATTCCCGAATTACATCAGCGTAGATAAGTGGAGAACCCAGGGCCTGATTCTGTTACACTAGTCAGTAGTTACTCTGGATTGACCCCAATGTAGCTGAGAACAGGATCTGTCCTCAACCCTTTAACATCCCCCCCTTTCCCACTCTTCCCTCTACAACTGGAGGCCTGAAGGGCCACAAATCTAACATATTTTCACCTGCCTCATCTGCCCAAAGGGGAATCTCTTTATTATACACAAATCCCCTTCCCCACATTCTTCCTTTCCACAACAGCTGCTCCTCAGTAATTGCATCTAATTAAGAAATCAATGATTCCACTCAGACTTCCCCAGACAGCTCCATCTCTAAAAGCAAAGGGCCCACCTCACTCATTACAAAAAGGTGCAGAATACTGGAATCCAAGAGGAATAGAAGAAGTGAGCCCCTATTCCATGGAGTTTACAGGGCACTGCACTCCCTCCCGCAGAGGCAGAATGTAATTACTGATGCATAATGAGCTGAGTTACAGTGGCAGCCCGTCAATACAGGTGAACTAGGCGGTCGCCTAAGGCACCAAGATCAACGGCCCTTGAGGGCTTTGGAGGCGGGGATGCGGATCGCACACCAATCGCAAGTTTCGCCTAAGGTACCAGTTGCTGGCAGCTCGTCTAGGGCCGTTCCTGTAGAAAACACGAGTGGAATTTCCACCATGTTTCCTGGGCAGGAAGCTCACTGGAAGCAGAACATCTGCTACACAGTGGGTGGAAGATAAGGCGGCCTCAAGTTGGCCAACCAGAGTTGCTCTTAACCAATCTAGGGAGCAGTTTTGGTGGACTTTAGAGGGAGCCTCAGTAGGAGTACAAAAAGTACAAAAAGAATAAAGCACTATAAAACTTAAAACAAAAATTCAGTTTTCTCCAAATTTCAGTTGTGTTGACATACCCCCCAGACTTTTCTTGAGTACCCCTAAGGGTACTCGTACCACTGGTTGAGAAACACTGATCTAGACACTTTATGTACACTGTGTGGATCTAGTAAATACGGGCGTATTAAGTGCTAAGGATGTTAGTGGGAGTTGCATGGACTCTCACCACTCGGGGGACACTCATTAAAGATAGCTTCCCCAATTATCACCTCTAATATCATTAGCTCACAGACATTTACCTTCCCCGCCCCCCCGCCATCTCCCTTCTGTTCTGAAATTTGATTTGTCCTTTTCATATGTGTTCATATTTTTTAATTGTATCCTTTGGTATATATGGTTGTGACAATTTTCTTCCACTATTTGATCTGAGGAAGTGGGTCTGGCCCACGAAAGCTCCTCACCTAATAAACCATCTTGTTAGTCTTTAAAGTGCTACATAGTCCTGTATTTTGTTTCAGCTACACCAGACTAACACGGCTACATTTCTATCACTATCTTTCAGGACTGGTTCTTAAACTACCTCAGTCCATTACAATAATATCCTGGTGAAGGTAATTCAACCACATCCATGAAACACAAGAATTGTGGCAGTTAATTAGCAGCTCTTACTATTTCCCCAATAATACGGTGATTTTTCAGGCATTTTACATCTTTTATTCCTTTTCCCTCATACCATTCACTAGGGCTTTGGGGCTGAGACTATAGATATAGAAACTGGTATAACCTTCCCCTTTGTTGCGCTATGTCTTCTCCCATCCACTACCCATCTCAAGCAAATGGTATCACCTGCCCTACAAATGAGCCAAACTACATTCAGGCATTGGGCTGCCAGTTTTGGCTGGACATTTTTGTCACATGGCATAATCTTTTAATTAAAGATGAATATTGGATTCCTGGAGACTCCAGGACAATCTTGGAGGATTGGCAACTCTAGTCAGGAAGCTAGTGCTGCATTTGTCCAGCTTGCTAGGCAACTTAGGGCTCGAGAATGGTTGGAAGGCTTGTTTGTGTTGGAAGGCAAATTGGTTGGAAGGCAAATTGGAGATTTGAAACTTAGAGGTAGCCTCAAAGTCAAGCACGATCACAGCTGGGCAACAAAATGAATAGTTTGAAATTGTCAGAGAGCGAGGGATTTGAAAAAGCCCCAGCATTGGGCTCATGAGCGTTTCCAGTCAACAATAACCTGCAGGGAATATTTGTAGGAGATCACTCCATATACAAAGTTCTTTAGAGTCAGCGGCATGGATATTTGCAAATGCAGCCTTTTATGCTGAGCTGTCAAAATGTCTGCAGCAGATTCAGCTAGACGGAAAACCAAGCTTTTTTTAAAAAAAATAGTTGTTCTGTGTTTCCAGCCTCTGCAGGATACGACTGGGTTTTTTTTTTTTTTACAGAGAAACAGTTAAGGTTGTTAGGCCAGAAGTCAGAACTACATACCGAATCTTGCAGGCTCCCTGTTATCATTTGCAGCTGGTGATATTTCTTTTACAGAGGCAAGTATCTGAAAAGATTAAATCACTAAACTGCAGCTGAATGACCCTATATAAACAAATCTCTGTAATTACATTGGTGGAAAGTGCTAAAGAAACGAATGTCACAAGTAGCAGTAAGGAGACTGAAATAAGGGACCTACAATCACGGGTGGAAAATAGTTACATGAGATTCATCTTGGGTAGGGAGGGGAAAGTGGAAATTAAAATATCTAGATGCAAATAATCTGAAACAGATATGGGCAGGAAGAGAGCTGGAAAGCAGTAAAACTGAAGCTGGCCTAGCAATGATAGTGGGCAGTAAATTATATCCAAGCATGCAAAGAACTATGGTGGGAAGAAAAGTCAGTGGAACTTTGGGCTATACAATTTGGCCACATCTATGATAGGAACATGACTCTTTGCTGATGATTGTAGACAGCCGTTTTTCTCTCTCAGCACCAGCCTCTCTCAGCTGGTATTGGGAAATGACTGGGATGCTAGTGGGTAGCCCTTGCGGAGCACATGATGGGGTGATGTGATGGGTCGGTGAGTGTACACAGCACATGATGGATGCTTGGTACCCATAATGCTGCATTGGTAGCAGTGCTGGAAATGGTTTTGTTCTGTCTCCGTTAGCTTTTCACAACCTGTGGATGAGGCTGTCGGGGATGGGAAGAGCTAACCACTCCAGGGGGGAGAAGTTTGCAGAGCAAAAGAGAGGAGCAGTGGGGACAAGAAGAGTTGCATGACCCTGCCTCCCTAATACAAAGGTGCTCCTGTTGCACTAGGTCAGTGTTTCCCAATTGTTGATCCGTGGAACCCTCAGGTTCTGCAAGGAGCTGGCACTCTCCCACCCCCTCTTAAAGAGACAGGTGCTTTTTTTTTTTTTTTTTGCAACAAAGGAGTGGTGGGAACCTTTTTTTAAAATTTTTTTATAGACAACCTAGAGGTTCTGTGGCCAAATAAAATTGGGAAAAACTGTGCTAAGTAAATCAATGTGTTGCTCCTATGGGAGTACCTCCAGTATACAGTGCAGGGCCCAGACCCAAGCTTATCTTCCCTATTTCCACAGCATTCATTCCTATGCTCCAGGGCACTGGGTACCTGGCCCTATGGAGCTTTCAGTGGACATCCGCCAATCCCCTTGAAGCCAAACCAAGTAGCCCTCTGGTGAGAGGGGGAAAGATGGAAGGAAAGAGAGGGAGACTTTGGTGCAGGACCAACAGTGCGAACATACCGTTTGTTTAGGCCCAAGGGTTCAGTTACATCTCTGTAAGCTGTATCACTCAGTGCTGTGCAGACACAAGGTTTGAGGTACAGGGGCATGAAGGGGCTGTTCCCCATCTTCTCTGCCCCACAACGCCTGTGCACAAGCAGCACACTGAGATTCTGAGAGCAAGCATCTTGTAATTCAATTTGCTGCCTGCTGATAGGAACAAAGCAGGCAGGCGCAGCGTGGGGAAGCATTCCCCGCAGTGTGCGCCTGCTGTGATCTGAAACCCCAGCTGGTGTTAGAAGTCACATTTTTTGACCAGCCTTGCTTGACAGTGTCCCTGCCTTTCAGTTCAGCTGAATGGTGGTTATAGGCAACACAATGGGAGAGGATGTGATATGGGCATTGTTCAGTCACGTTGTTGCTTTTTGGGAAATAACTGCAGTAATTGTGTGTTTTTAGTCACTTCACTCAAGTCTCCTCTTTTCTTTAGACAGATGTTGAGGTTGGAGAACACTGCGTCCAGATTTGAAGCATACAAAAGGTATTTTTCAGGCTTAGGTTAATTAGCCTAATTAGGCTGATGTACAGTAAGTGTGCTGGTTTGTTCCTTAATTATCCTTACTGACCCATCACATCACTCCACTTGTTTCCACGAGGTTAAAACTTTAATTTGTGGGGTAAGGAAGACAGCTTCATCACTGAACAGCCACACCCACACCCAGAGACATCTCCAGACTGGCACATTTGGTGGTACACTTTCCCAGGGCATGGAAGGTTACACCCAAAGAAAGCCCATTCATAGCTGAGGGAAGTAGAACAGGACCAAAGAATTTTGGACTCTGCTCAGAAAGCCATGAGAAACATGAGCCCCCACTTCACCGTCCAATCTTTGTATCTATGCAAAGACCTATAAGAGAAAAGTATATCTTAATAGGAAATGTGGGCTACACACTCTACAGGAAATGTGACTTTCTATAAAAGAGCCTCTTGGGAATGCAGATTGTGTCCATCCATGAACCAAAGGAGATGCACCAATATCTTGTTACTGAACATATTGCAAATATCGATAACAAGGTGCCCTTCCAGATCCCTTCCATGACATATAATTACATGTACACTGTACATCTACAGAGCCATAGAAGCAGCCCTTCCCTGGATATATTGATGCTGCATTCATCCAGAGCACAACACAATATCCAGATAGACTATCTGCTTCTGTAAAAGCCACGAGTGTCCCTTCGCAAAGCATAGAGCATCCATCCATCCACTCAACCACAGACCCACAGCACAATATATTTCCCAAGCACCATCCCAAGGAGCTCCATCTAGGGCTGCCTCTTTACAGGACCTATGGGCACCTAGTGTGTACTACTATGCAAGTAAGAGCTCCCTCTCCAGGACCTACAGCAAACACCTACAAACAGTACACAGAGAGAGTCAGATTTCCTGCCAACATCAGTCAATTCAGTGCTCACAGCTAGACACTCACACGCCAGTGCCATTAAGTGTATCACAGCCTGGTAGCAGCATCCTTGCTTTCAGGGCACTGAGCAAGATGGTCATTTTGAAGCTACTTTGCACTTGGAAATGGAACCCCAGGAAGGTTTACCCTGATCTGGAAGCCTGAGGTGTGGCGCTGGAGTGAGTTTTGGTTCAGAGGTGTGGTTCCATGCTGCCAGCAGTGCTGACATAGGTCATAGCCGGAGATAAGGCAGGGTAAAGGGCTAATGGCCTGGAAGTAGAAAAGATCATTGTAAAAGTTTTATATCATGAACATGAGGGGCTGCCAGTGATGCCAGTTAGTAACCTGGCACTGGTGTCCCAACTCCCTAGCCTCTGTCTGGCAGAAGCTGGGAATGGAGGACAGGGGATGATGACCTGGTCTGTTCATTCCCTCTGGGACACTTGGCAATGGCCACTGTCAGCAGACAGGATACTGGGCCAGATGGACCTTTGGTCTGACCCAATGTGGCCGTTCTTATCTCCTACAGCAGTGCACGCACATCCCGAATGCTCCAGTGCCTGACGTACAAACGGTGATCCCAGAGGCCTGAGGGACAGTGAGTTTGAAAAGGAAACACCCCTCTGGCTGAGCCCCCAGGGCCTGGGCTGAGTCGCTGTCTGCTTCGAAGCCCATTTTGCAGTTCATACAAGAGCAAAGTGCTGGGGGTGTTGTGCAAGTGAAGAGCGACAAGAGAGGCTCTGGGCTTGAGTTGTGCAGTGGCAGTTACTGCAGCATTCAGCTTCACCTTTCATCAGACACCGTCTTATCCCTGAGCAGGCTAAGAGGCCATGAGAAGACTGATGTGAGGGGATATTCCAGCCCTCAGAAGACATTGTCTCTCACTCCCTACAATTAGGAGGTTTCAGTGAAATGAGCCTTAAAGCCACGAGCCCTCCAGTTTCAAGCTTTGTTCTTATAAAATTGGGAGACGCGTCTGCTGCAAACCTGGGCTGCCCAACTATGACCTGAGCCTGACACACTGGAGTAGGCAGGTGTGAGGAACAGGAGGCTTTTGAATACCAAAGCAGTTCAAAGGCCCTGGGCATGGGACTGTCTGGCTCATAGGCTTCGGAATGGAATCCATTCACTTTTAATCTTCTGGTCATTTGCTCTGAATAAGTCCCAGGTAACTAGTGACCAAAAGCTGCTCCCAGCTGGCAATTTGAGGCTCACTGGGAAATGAATTGGCAGTCTCCGTCCAATTCCCAGGGGATGTGTCGATATCACAGAAAAGACCCCAATTGCCCCCTCCTACTCCCTGCAGAGAGACCAGGGACTGGGTGGGCCTTGGAGAACTCCCTTCAACTCCCTCCCACCACAAGTAAGAGCTGAGCTCTGCTGGGGGGCAGGTTAGGGAAGCTTGCACCCCTGTACCCCTTGCTGGGCCTGCTTTGCAGACAGAGCGCTTCAGCAGCAGTTAAACCAGGTCAAACCAGGAGGGGGGGGGGTGGAATTTCACTGGACCAGCCCAGGAGGGGAGGAGCACTAAGCCAGGCAAAGGTGAGGAAAGGGAGCTGCATTGCCTCTTGATCTCTTTTGCTGCATTTCCATCTTCAGGGCTTTCAATTGGCCATCAGTCTCAATCTCTGAATTCCCATGTAAATAGCACGAAATCTCCAGCTTGTGTAAGTCAGCACTGCTCTGGTGGGGTCAATGTACTACTGGACACCAGCTGAGAATCTGGCCCACGGCCTTTAAAACTTACACTGCTTCTAAAGTAGGACTTTGATATGGGGGAGGAGGAGGGAATAATCTGGTGCAAATGGCTGTGGCTTCATGAACTTCAATGGAGTCAAACCAATTTACACCAGCAAAGGATCTGACAAGTTAGACCTACTTTTCACTTCATTTTCAGAAGTATTCTTGAATTGACTAGCAGATAGTATCCCAGCACTCTGTGTTCAAACAAGCTCATTCAGTCCCACCCGCTGGTGGTGAAGTCACCATGCTGAATGTGTGTCGCCTGGTGCGTTTCCACAGCACCAGATTGTGTTGAGCTACGGCTTGTCAGTTCCTTGTAAGAATGGCAGGACTTTGCACTTATATAACTAGCCATCTGTGGGTCTCTCCTGGCAGACTTTGTGAACTCCAGTGTGGCTTCAGCAACACTCCTGTGTGTTGTTATCCCCACAATCTCAGGCTGTGTCTAGAGTGCAGGCTTCTTTCGGAAGAAGCTTTTCTGGAAGAGATCTTCTGGACAAACTTTTTTCAAAAGAGAGCATCTACACAGCAAAAGTACAACGAAAAAGCGATACTACGGTGATCAAGGTAGT